TGTGGTTACCCCAGAGGCAGAGGCAGGGCCAGAACCGGCGGTCAAGGAGAGGGATTTTAAGTAAAGGGCCATGGGGCCTCATCTATGTTTTGAAGAGTACTCCAGCAGGGACAGGACAGCGGCATTGACGGGGTGGCAGTGGTACCGTGGGGGGAGTAACTGGATTCCTGACAGATATCATTGCCAAAGTGGTTTTGCTGAAGGAGGGAGGGAGAAAGATGTGAGAGAGAGAGAAACAAATCAGGGCCGCCTCCAAGGACTTTGGAACCAAACGAGTGCCACCAAGATGGGAGTTAAGAAGCAGATTTGAAGGTTTGCAAGCTAAGGTGTGAGGATTGAGCCTTTTTCCACTGTCTAGGCTTGAGATCTATCTGTCCCACTTCCCAGTGGAACACCACAGGGAATGATCTTGAAACAAAAGATGACCAAGGTGAGAATTTTGGGGAAAACCTATGTTTTGGTATTTGCAAAAGTATATATGGTTAGTTTAATACATCTGCTTGATTATGTTATATTACCTAGTTGTTTAATCAAATAAAATATTAGGGGTAGCCAGTTATGGTGGTGTACACCTATAATCCCAGCACTCAGGAAGCTGAGGCAGAACGATTGTTGCGAGTTTGAGATCAGCCTGGGCTATGAAGTGAGCTCAAGTCCAGCCTGAACTACATAGCAAGACCCTGTCTCAAACAGACAAAAAAAAAAAAAAAAGAACAAAATCCACCCCATTTAGTTATTATACATTTTATACATATAGTGAAATGTTACACTGCAGCTCATAAATATGCAAAATTACAATGTGTTCACTAAAAATAAAAATATATTAAGAAGAAAATCCAATAATCAGTTGGAACAAAAGTTGGACTGTCCAACTCCAAAACTGTTGTGCTAAAAAAAAAACCTCTTTTCTTTATAAAAGTGACTAGCTTCAGGTGTTCTGTTATAGTAACAGGAAACTGACTAAAAGAGGTACTTAACAGGAAAGTTTACTAGGACAGACAGGAGACAATATCTGAAAGCTAGGGAGCTAGAGAATCTTGACAACAGAGTTTAATTCATAGTTTCTTTCTCCACAGCCAATCTTTCTCTTTAAACAAAAAATGTTAGGTGAAAAACAAAGCAGGCAAAACTGCTTAAACTCCCTTTTCATGCCACCGATGCTTGTCCAGTATTAAAATTCTCTTGAAAAGAACTTCAAAATGGGGGAAGACACCAGGGTGTTCTAAAATGAAACTGCTCATTTCTTGGCAGAGATTATTCTTCCATCCTTGTTATGTAAAAAACATAGGGAGCAAGGAAACCCATCAGCAAATCCTTCTAAAGAACCAAGAATTTTAAGTAGGCAGCTGCTGAGAATCGGCCATGGTGGACCTCCACCACTGGCCTCTTGTTAAGCCCCTCCTTTTGGATCGAGCCAGGAGGAGACCCAGTTAGCAGTTCTGTGAGCTTACTGGCGGGCACTAGGGCTGGAAATCAATCATCCCAACCCCCGCATCCCCAGTTAGCAACTGGGGACAGAGGACTGAGCATGTCTTGAGAGGATGACCGTATGCAAGACAGAAATGTGGGGGATTTCCTTCCATCCTCTGTTTGAAGGCAAATTTTTTTTCACTGTTTTGTTTCATTACGATTAATTGTATTACTATATTCAATATTCTCTTTTGAATGGTTTTGTAATGTTCTATTTCTGATCTGATTTTGCTATATCTGACAGACTGGACAACTTTTGTGAAGATAATGAGATGGAACCTATTACTGTTATCCCAGTAACCTGCTGTGAAATTCTGTACCACTGTCACTGCATTGTCTCGATTGGCTTTGTTCTGTTGTTTTACTACCTTCAAAAAAAAAAAAAAAAAAAAAGACCAAGAATTTTGAGTCAGGAAGGTTTGCTCTTCTTCAGAACTTCCAGGTTTTCAAATAAGCTGAGGTTGGTTTACAGCCCTAAACAGGAGTCCAGAGACGCTCCACTGGGGTCCAGAATCCCATGAGCCATAAACAGCTGTTTAAGAAGGGAAAACTGAGTGTGGCAGTACATGTCTGTAAACTTTCCACTTGGGAGCTGAGGGAAGAGGACTGCTTAGATTTTGAAGCTAACCAGGACTGCACAGTGAGTTCAAGGCCAAGGGCTAAACTATATAGTAAGGCCCTGTCACAGAAATGTTAAAAAAAAAAAAAAAAAGAATAGAAGGACTCAGAGATGGAGGCAACCTTGTTACTTACCTTAATCAAAAGTGAAAGGCAACACTACCTCTACAGAGCAATGGGCCAAGAGAGCCTCCGTGAAGATCCACAGGCTGCCTGTACCACGGGTGGTAGGTAAACCTCAGACAGGGCTGGAAGCAGCTGGAAAGGGCCCTAGTTTGTAAGCCATTATTGAATTTCTTTGCCTGAGTTCCCAAATAAACACCTTGACAGCAGAGACCTATGATAGCCAATACCCAAAATGCCCCTTCTCCTGGCATTCACCTTGTACAAATCCTTCCCGTATTATACCAGGAATGTGATCAATAGAATATGGGGAGCCAGGTATAGTAGGACACACCCGTAATCCCAGCACTTGGAGACCTGAGGTGGCAGAATCACCCTATGTTTGTGACCAGCTTGGTGTATATACAGAGTCAAGGCCAGCCTGAACTACATAGCGAGATTCTGTCTGAAAACAAAACAGAAACAACAATGAAATGTAAAGAAATGATGCTGTTACTCAGCTTCCCATTACCCTAATAAAATAACTGAGATACTCACAAGTAAAAACGTTTCTATTGCTTCAGATTTGCACATCTCTGTCCAAGACAGAGTGACCCCATTGCTTTGAGGCAGCACCTTATGGTGGCACCATGTGATGAGGCAAACCTGCTCAACTCAGGAATCCAGAAGTGAAAAGATACATAAGAGGTCATAATCAGTGTCTCCTTACAGGGCACAATCCAAAAACCAAAGGAAACACCATGCACCCCACCCCCAAGGCCTCAGTACCTATGGGTCTATAACACTTCTCAAAAGGGCCACCTTGGGGACAAAGGTTTCAACACACATTTAGGGGCCTTCAACATGTAAAGCACAGCAGATGAAATGTCACTTCTCTGTGATTAGGTTATAAAAATCTCTGCCCACTATCATCACTTAGGAAACTAATACAGGTCCTCTTCTTATTCATCCAAGTCCCTATGGAGAAGTGACTGGGACTTGGGTATTAGGCCTCCTCTCTGGACGTATGTATGAGTGCACAGCAGAACAATGTACTTGGAGCTGGGCTTTGTGGCATAGTCACAGCCCTAGGTTCCTTTTAAAACCCGGTGAGCTAGGACTGTGTGGCAGACAAACCTCTCCTCGAGTAGATCTCCTGGCTCGCTCAGTCTTCACTAAAGTGCAGGCTTGCACTAGATCCTGCAGTCAAGTGTACTCCATGCAGTCCCGGGTTTCCTGTCTCTTTTCTGGGTCTTCAGGTCATTCAGGGCTGGTCCTCAGTGGGAGCTTGGAGAGGATGATTAGGGCCTAACTGGCCTCTTCTGTGAGCACTAGGGAGCAAGGCAGGATGAGTGCATGCTGATATGCTACAGAGAATATTAATACAGCTGAGATCCGGCTGTTTACTCAGAAACATTCCATGGATGATGGGAGATAGATGAATCCTCTTTTACCCTGATTGCTTATGCCTGTGTCTGAGTAAATGAAGGCAAGGTGCACCAGTCAGTTGGGGCTCTTTGTAAAAAGGAGACCAGTCCCCTTGCCCTAGCATTTTAACCTGTTCTGTGTCTGTTTCATCTTCTTAGCCACTCAGTCAGATGCAAGCTCACAAATTGGGCCCCTGCAATCCTCAATCAGGAGGATCCGTTCCTTTCAGAGCCTAAGAATCCTAGCTCTCTTCACCTCTGCTTTAGCAGCTGTCCTTAGTCTCCAGTGGAATTCTTCACTGGCTGTCTGCCAGTGAACACTCTCTGTTCCCAGGACCTCAGTCTCTGGGCACTGGCCATCACTCGGCTACCTTCTGAGCACTGGGGCATGGCTGGCCTCCACAGTGCAGTCTGGCTCTTTCTGCCACCTTTGGGCTTTGACTGCCTCTCTCTACGTGTACTGGGCACACGCAGTTTGGTCTGGCCCTCTCTTCCCTGGCCTTGAGCCCCACTCCCAGCCCGCCCAGATCTCTGATCTCTGTACCCAGAATAGGCCCACTGAGCCTTGATTCTTCTCTCTCTCTCTCTCTCTCTCTCTCTCTCTCTCTCTCTCTCTCTTTCTCTCCCTCTCTCTCTCTGTCCTGGCTTCTTTCGCTGTCTGAGCCTGAGGGGCCTCAGCTTCCTTCCACAGTCCTCGCCCCTGGCCGCCCCCAACTGGGCTATCGTCGTCAAGACTCTAATCCCTTCGCCCACGATCATCCTTTTTCCAGCCGCCAGGGATCCTCCATGGGCGCGTCGGGTCCAGGAGGCCAGAGCTCTAGTCCTCCTACGTTTCTTCGAACGTTCTTGTGTTCCTCCATCACTCCTCGGGTCACTGCGCCCCTCCAGGCTTCTAGCCCCCAGGCTCGGGCCTCTCCGCACCTGTCCCTGCCCCTCATGGGCCTCCTTCCGTCTCTCCGCCCCTCCTTAGTTATCTTTCCCAGGCTCTGTCCGTTCGTTTCTCATGGATCCTTCTGCCAGCCATGCAGCCTCGGGTTTCTCTGCAGCGCCTTGGTCTCTCCAAGGAGCGTCCTGCAGTCCGCAGCCAGGTCCTCGGATGCCTCCGCCCTACTCATCTATCTCGGTACCTCCTCGTTTCTCCTCGGGTCCTGGAGGCCCTGATTCGGTTCCTTTCGCCCCTCTTGTGGGCCTTCCGCACCTCTTCGTGTCCACTCCTCAGTTCCCAGGCTGTCTCCGCCCCTGCTCAGGTCTCTCCGCGCCTCCACGGCGTCCCCGGAAGGCCTCGGATCCCTTCGCTTCTCCTCGTGTCCCCATGGTGCTCCTCCTCGGCTTCCTTCGTTTGTCCTCGGTCCACTCCGACAGGCCTCGGGTCTCTCCGTTTCTCTGAGGCGCCTTGCCTCGTGCGGGTTCCCTCACCACCCTCGAGTCTGCTTTCCTCCTGTCCCCTCTGCCTCCTGGGGTCCCTGCACTCCTCACCGGTGTGGCTACCAACCCCGCCAGGGTTCCAGCCCCAGGCCTGGAGTCGGCAGTTCCTCCTCCTGGCTCTCCTGGAGCTGGTTTTCATCCAGCCCTCATTCTTGGGATGTGGAAGTGCCCTCTGCCTGTGTTCTGCCCACTACCACCACCTCCACCACCCGCCATCGCCCTGCTGAGTAAGGTGAAAGGTTTGACCTCGGAGAACGGGGACAGGATGGGTGGGGAATCGTTCATGCTATGGGCGCTCTGGGCTCTGCACTGTCGAGGTCCTCCCCGCCCCGCTGGACCTCTTCCTTCCTTTACCTTCCGTTTTTGGTTTTGTTTGCGTTTTCAGACGTGGTGTTGCTATGTAGTGCGCGCTGCCTGTACGTACCTTTAAGGGCTTTAAGGTTTCTACTCTTACTCACCTGCAGCCTTCCTCCTCATTCTTTTTGTAGTTTTGAGGAAAAGAAAAAGTCTCCGTAACCTTGTCCCTTGAAACTGCAGGTTTTTAAAGGTGCAATTTTAAAATTACCATTTTTTTTTTTTTTTTTTTTTGTCTTTTTCCTTTTTATCGGTACCGGGGATCGAACCGATGACTGCCTGCTTGCAGCGCAGGCGCCTATGCCACTGAGCTAAATCGCCAGCCCCTAAAATTACCATTTTGTCTCTGTTCTACCTATTTTTATTTACTCTGTTCATGATGCCGTGAGTCTGAGGTCAGCCTGAGCTAGGTAGCAAGACCCTGTCTCAAAAAAAAGAATCCATAAAAGGAAGGGAATAAGGGGGATTGTAGGTGCAGGTAACAGCACAGATGAGTATGAGCACATTAACAAGGGCAGGAGGAGAAATGAGGGGGAGTGAAATGAGGCCCTGATGAGGTGCAGATATCTACATCATAGAATATATTGAAAAAGTGTCATATAAGGTAAATAAATGCTGATCTACAAACACGTGAAGGATGATCCCAGCAGTTTTTTTTTTTTAATCTTAGTAATTTTATAATAGGGAAAAATTAGAAACTTGACTATTTCTTGGTAGAGAAGCAAATGATGCTAGTTTATACAAAAGAACTGAGATAATTAAAAATGATGTTGCTTTATGGGCACAGTTATCAGAAAAACACATCCATTACACAGCTGTTGAAAGATCAAAAAGATAAAAACAGAATGTTATGTAGGGCCCCCTATTTTAACTGTGCTTCTTATACTTTTTGTTTTGTCTCTTGGTTTTTGAGACAGGGTCTTGCTATGTAGTTCAGCTGGCCTTGAACTCACTATGTATCCCAGGCTGGCCCTGAACTCACAGTGATCCTCTTGCTATAGCTTCCTAAGTGCTGGGATTACAGTTGTGTAGCACTACACTGGAATATGTTCATTTCTAAAGAAAAATAGACACTCAGATCTTCAACTGAGACATCTTGCTTCACTTCAGAAATACTGTCCCCAGGCTGGGGGTTTAGCTCAGCGGCCTAACTGCCTGCTTGGCAAACACAAGGTCATGAGATCAATTCCCAGTACCAAAAAAATAAAGAAATAAATAAAAATAAAGAAAAATACTGTCCCTTGAGCATAGATAAAATTTACAAATTTATTCCAGGTAGACTGTTCTACTCTGGTCTTCTGAAATTCAATCCTAAGTAACACACAACACATCTGAGAGATACAGAATCAGGGAGCACATCAGGTTGGTGGGCTAACACCCCCCTACACACACTGTCTTACTCTGTGGACATCTATAAGAGTTGTGATGTGTGATGGTACAATGCACCTTTGTGTCGATGTCGCTCCCGGCCGGCAGGAAGGACACACGACAAAGTCTGGCAGTGGACAACCTTTTCTTTTATTTTCCTTCTCCGTACAGCCTGCCCTGGGATCGCTCCCAGCCGAAGCCTCCTTTGGTCCGCTCCCCGCGGCTCCTTTTGGGCTTCTACTTCCGGGCTTCTTCTTCCCCCCAGGGGTGGCACCAGTATATATACACGGATACAGTGTCCAATCATGTTAAAGTAAGCAAGGCAAGCTGATTGGCTAACATCATCAGTTGCCAGGCAGACTATATTGTTGGGCGGGTTGCTTACCCGGTAAGCAGGAAACTAACGTGCTCGATGGGAGGGGTAATCTACCTCAGGCTTTACTCTTTACTACAGGCCTCACGTCCGCCAAGTGAGGCGACCGGGCTCGGGGCTGCGGCTCCCAACATCTCCCCCTTTTTTATTTTTTATGAATGTGCGCATCGTAGTCCTTTCTGGACTGGGTGCAGAGGCTTATGCCCTATGCGTAGGCCCACCGTAGGTCCTTGGCTTAGACCCTGGTCGGCCGTCCCATGGTCTGCCAAGGCCCTGAGGCCCTCGTCCTTTTTCTAGGGCCAGGCACAAACTGGACGGAACCTGGATGCACACAAGCTTGCACTCATTTTCTCTCCGTAAAGAAATCCCCTCGGAGAGAAATTTAGACCTGGGCAGCGTCTAACAGTCCAGCGGCTTACGTGCAGGATGGGGTAGGGCCTGGCTTAGGTTGAGTCGCACTGGGGGAGTACGCTCTTACCCGTCATTGACTCTCCTACCCAGCTATGTCATAATTTTTTAGAGGAGGAGTGTGGGAAGCTCACCGTCCCTAGACTCGGTCGTAGGCTAGGCGAGCGAGCCATGCATATGCCTGAGGATCTTCTTGTCCATTTTGGGCTACCGCTATTTCTATTTATCTTGTTGGTTGGTCTGTGATGGATCTCCGGTAGGGCAGGTCTGATCTTCAGTCGAGGGCTTTGTTGCCCGTGTCAGTCTCTCCGGTACCCACAGTGGTTCTCGTCCCGATTCCTGTGGGAAAACACAAACCGCGCCTCGGTTCCAGCTGACCACTGGATCCGGGCCCATCCATTGTCCTGTCAGGACATCTTTCCACTTCACCCACCCTTTATGGTTGGGGGAAGGGTTGCAGTGCTCCACGGCTGGGGAGCAATTATCATTATTTAAATTTAAAAAATTGTGTGTGAATAGTGCCATGGATAATCGTGCCTTTGGGGCCAGGCCTTGGCCTACTCCCCCTTTTTGTTTTTGTAAAATTTTTTTGAGGCTTCTATGAGCCCTCTCAATGATTTCTTGACCTTGGGGATTGTATGGGATACCATGTTTTAATTGAACCTCCATCATTTTGCAGAACTCATTGAAGGCTTTGCCTATATAGGCTGGTCCATTATCAGTTTTTAATATTTTTGGTTTGCCCCATGCGGCCCAAGCCGCCAGGCAATGATTGATCACATTAGACACTTTTTCACCTGTTTCTGCTGTTGCGAATATGACGTGAGAACAGGTGTCTGTGGAAACATGAACATATTTAAGAGTCCCAAACTCCTGTATATGTGTGATGTCCATCTGCCAAACATCACCAGGGATCAAACCTCGAGGGTTTACTCCCATCGGTATGGCAGGTTTGTATGTGGCACAGGAGTCACATAGTCGCACGATATCTCGTGCATCTGCTCTGGAAACATGGAAATGGTTTGCTAGTGTCCTGGCATTGACATGAAACTTATCATGGAAGGCACGGGCTCGCTCGATTGGTGTTAGTAAGGTAAAAATCCATAACGGGTGAGTGGCAGTATCAGCAGCCGCATTCCCCTGTGCCATAGGCCCTGGCAGGGATGTATGTGCTCTTATGTGGGTGGTGAAGACCTTATGGTGTCTGTTCTGAAGCAATGTCTGGATAGACAGGAACAGCCCAGCCACTGTGGAAGTGGATCTAATTAAACCGGCAGTCTCAAGCACTTGCATAGCATTGACCACATACCTAGAATCGGAGACAATATTAATGGCTTCTGAGAACCGTTCAAGAATCATTTTAACGATCTGCAGTTCCACCACCTGAGGCTGATCAGGTTCAAATTGTATGGTAACCGGGGGCTTGCCTAGGATCACATAGGCGCCTATCCCCGTCTTGGAGCCATCTGTGTATATTGTAGTTGCTGGGACTAATGGCTCAGAGGCAGTAACCTTTGGAAAAATTATAGGGTGCTGAGTGACAAATGACAAGATAGGGTCTTTAGGGTATTGATTGTTTATATCCCCATGGAAAACACATTTCAGAATGGCCCATGTATCTATGCAGGCAGCCAGGGTCTTGATCTGGCTGGCGGTATAGGGTACTCGGATGGCTTGTGGTCCTGAGCCAAAATGTTGGACAGCTCTATCATGCGCTTCAAGGGCCAATGAAGCGACTGCCTCCGGGTAATGCTCTATGACTTTTGCAGGTGAGACCTTAGGGTGTATCCACAGTAATGGTCCTTTCTGCCAAATCACCGCTGTGGGCTGTAGACTAGTCTGTAGCAAACAGACATCAAAGGGTCGCCCTGGTTCAATTCTGTGTAAGGTAGCCCCACCTAAGGCTTTTTCCACTCTCTGTAAGGCAGCTCTTGCCTCAGGAGTGAGCCTCCTGTGGGAGGCTATATCTGGGTCTCCCTTCAGAAGGTCGAACAGGGGTTTGAGATCTGAATTTGGTATATGTAAATATGGCCTAATCCAATTAATGTCTCCCAGTAGCTTTTGCATGTCATTTAGGGTCCTAACGCCATCCGTCCTAATGGTGACCTTCTGTGGAGAGACTAGCATAGGGGAGATTTTCGCGCCTAAGTAGGTCACCATTTCTCCTCCCTGAATCTTGTCGGGGGCAACATGCAGATTAGCTTGTCTCAGGGCCTCGACCAACTGGCCGAGCATATTATTTAGCATGTCTGGGTCCCTGCCGCTGAGCAAAAGGTCGTCCATGTAATGCACACATCTTATCTTGGGAAAGGATTTCCGTAGGGGGGCCAGTAGGGAATCAAGGTAAATCTGACACATAGTGGGACTGTTGGCCATACCTTGGGGCAGCGTTATCCACTCGTATCTGAGATCAGGGCTTTCTTGGTTAATGGTGGGTAAAGTAAAGGCGAACCTATGAGTGTCCTCTGGATGCAGGGGGATTGAGAAGAAACAGTCTCTAAGATCTATAACATAAACTGGCCAGGACTGAGGGATGGCTGAGAGAGCTGGCAGCCCCCTCTGGACCGCCCCCAGGGACTGCATCTGCGCGTTGACCGCCCTTAGATCATGGAGCAGCCTCCACTTGCCAGACTTTTTCTTAATTATAAAAATGGGGGTGTTCCATGGGGAGGTTGACGGCTTAATGTGTCCTAATCTAAGTTGTGTACTGACTATTTCTGACAAGGCTA